AATATATTTTTGTAACCACTATATCCACAGAATTTAGCATAATAATAAATGCTATAGCCTGAAACTAAAACTATATTTTCAAAGTAAGAAATATATCACTAAAGTCAAGCTTGGGTTTCCAAATGATCAGGACGGCCAAAACCAAAACCAAGTACCTATTGTCACTGTATGAATATTAAATAAGGCATGGTTAACAGAGAAATTAGCACAAATCACTGAAATGATCATTGAGATTGATTTTTATACTGCGCAAATGATAGTATAAATAAAATTGAGTAGTTAAATATGTCTCGACTAGGCTGAACATCATTTACCAATCGTGCATAATCATGAGTTTCTTAATGAAAATATTTCAAATTATTCCTTAAATCAAAAAAAAACTATATCGAACTTAATTAATTTTCAGTATATTTGAATAATCAATTTATTTTAGACATCCCTGGACTTTGGGCAAGTCAATGTTAGCTGTCATTGCAACCCACTTATGGCATAAAATTTATGGTTTCAAAATATTGAACCTTTGAAAGCCTACATTATGAAATTTCTCACCATCAAAAAACTGCAAGTCATTAAAATAATATCCAAGAAAAATCCTCTTGTTTGAAAATTATGGCTCGAAAGAAAGTCAGCATGAGGTGTCAGTACTTTGAAGATTTGCTGAATCTACAAGAAATTTATTTTGACCTAATATGCATTGATATAATCGATAGAAAAATAGATTTGTAAATCTAAATTCAACTATCACTACCGATACTTCTTGTACTTGAATACAACATGGATTCTTATGGTATTTAGGAACTGAAATAAATATTATATTACTGTAAAAAGTATTTTGTGCATTCACTATGAACAATAAAATTTGGATTTGAATGCTCAGTTAAACTACTTTACTGACACAATTTTATCACTACACAAAAATTGAAATTTTATCTCATAAATCATAATCTTATCCAATAGAGATAAAAGGACGCTTCTGAAATATGCATACCAAGATGGCGGCCACTGGAATGTAGTATGTGTACCAGGTTAGTGTTAGACCATAATTATAGACACAAATACTATGGGAGTCACTTGGCTTGTCCCGAAACTTGTAGTTGTAATAGAACTAAAATAAGGAAAATTGGAATAAAATTATGGCCCAAATCTCACCTGTGGTACACATACTATGTTCAGGGGTCCGCCATCTTGATACGCATACTTCAGGAGTACCGATAAAAAAGTAACTTATTTTAACATATTGAGAGATTCTTATTATACAATATTTTACCTGTTCTAGTACTTCAACTGTTGCTTGTAACTTTTCAGGTTGATTAGAGAATGCATTCATCAAATAATCTCGTACTTGAACATCAATTCTTGATGGGAATGTTTCAGCTTTTAGAAACTGAATTTAGAATGATAATTGTAATTTTAAAAAAATATGTAACTGAGAAAACAGCAGGATACTAGAAAAATAAACTCAATACAGAAGAAGACTATTTCTCATATCGTATCACATAAACAAAGAGAAAAATCCGATGAATGACAAAGAAACCACGCTGTTCCCGCCTGTGTATTATAAATCATTGTTTAAATAGTCCTCTATTTGTTTGAACTTGCGCGAATTTGTTTATAAATATTATCTTATCATCATCCTTTTAGATTAGATAATTTTAGACATGATAATTTTTTCACATTTTTTTCCTTTTCTTGCTCTATATATATCCACTTGTGTCCCCTCCTTATCATTCCCTGATGAAGTTTTTCTGTATAGAAATTCGAAACGTCGCCAAATTACATAGTTTTGCTAACACATGTTGTGCTTTATTCATTATCAACATGAGTTCACCTGGTGGCAATCATGCATTAAGAAGGTAACACGTTGGACAACGTTTCTCAACTTGAGTTAGAGTGGCAATTTTCGTCCCACTTTATGAGAATTCCAATAGCAATCTAAATTTATAGCTTGAAAAAACCTGTAATTCTTCATGTGTCATAGTTGCAAACATTGTTTTTGCACAGTTGGATTTTTGACGATGTGTTTTATAATGTTCTTCAATGACTGGCAGTCTTGAATCCCCTCGGAATAAATCTATCAGCAACTAAAAAAAACAATCATTTTATAATTACTTTTAATATAATTAATAATTAGATGACAAATTGCACTAAAATAAAGGAATGTCCATTAGATACAATAAATAACACAAACCTTTCCAATTCCATCTTTATGATTTTTAACGCCTAATTTTGTAGAAAGTCCATCGGCTCTTAGTCCTCGCACGTACAACATCATCAAATAATCCTCTTTACTTATATGTTAGTTTACGGGATGTGTAATTTCTTCCACCTCTCACTTGAATACGGGTACCTATATAAAGAATTTCAGCATTAAGCTTTGGTAAGAGCCGTATACTATAAACCAGGGGTTCTCAAACTTTTGGTGTTGCGGAGCCCATGAGAAGGTTGACTATTATTCACGGAGCCCCAAAATAAATGTTGAAATTGTTACTTTCAGATTAATATTCCTGAGCAAGTTAAAAGTACTTTACTCAATTTAAATGCGGAACCTTTTTAATAGGGTTAATACAAGTCATAAATAAATCTAAATTTCAAACATAAATTATATAAACTAAAACTGTAAATTTGACATTTGACAAACATACTAATAAATTAGGGGTCGAATCTTTTCCCTTTTGACATTTTTGGAAGACTTAAAAGGCGCTAATAATGTGCGCGATTGCATTTTGTTACAATCGCCGATTTTTCCCCCTCAGCATGACGTGTTTTTGAACCTTTAAACATCTTTACGCCGGTGTTTATTCTCCCTAAATCAAAAATTTCATTCGGCATATACTTGTACTGTAACACAATGACGACGTTAATTAGGCTTCCCGCTGCTTGTCAGCAGGGAACCTATTGTATTCCTGTGTTTTATTATTATTATTTATTTATTATTATTATTTTTTCAAATTGGTCCTACAAACTTGAAATTCACCTCAAATGTGCAGAAGTTCTCAGCTAGCAATAAAATGCAAATTTTTTTTTTACGCGGAAGCCTGTTAAAGCTGCACGCAGCTCTAGTTGCTTTTTTGTTCTCGTGGGTAATTTTGAGTTCAATGTGAAAAACATGTTACCATATTATAGTCATCGGCGGCGAAATGCTAAAAATAATAATTAATAAAGAGGTAATTCCGCAACTCAAATTTATTGATTGAAAAGCGGCATTCTAAAATAATAAAACTAAAACTTAAAATGGGAGATCACACGTTTGATTTTAGCGGACTCACCTAGGATTGAAAACGCTTTTATAGACATTGTGAATCACAAAATTTGGTGTTATGTTAGGTTTCATCGTAGTAACTGCGAAATCGAAACGCCATCAATTGTGCGCGCGATCCGCGATGTACCCTTTTTTCATTCTGAAACTACGAGAGCCGAATGCAATTCGTGTTTTGCCCAGACATTGTGATATTTTAAACGGCGATATCTTGCTGAAAAATAATCTCAAATGCGAAAGAACAAATCAAGTTTGACAAATCCCAAGATCGCAAAAATATGACTCCAATTTATTTATAGTTGGCAGTTTATCACATATTTTATGTTATCTTAGAATAGTATTCTTTCATTTTAGTAATCCTAATAGTAATCTCGAATCAAACGTGAGTAACGATGAGCACAATTACATTATAACGACGAGACACGTTGAATGCTCGCATCGGTCATGGATTGAATATTTTACGCAACAGAAATCTCGTTATACGTTTTTTTAATCGCGAAGAATCTTGCGCGGAAATTTCCGATTCCAATTTGAACCACCTCCCCTTAAGAATCCTGGCTGCGCTTGTGCTTATAAATGATGTCATTTTTTTAATTCCGCCTCTTTGCCATATTTCGAGGCTATACTGTTGTCAGATTTTATCAAAGCTGTTATTGCTTCTTCGAACAGTTACAAAATTAGTCAGTATTTTGAAAAGTAATCGAATAGCTCGCGGAGCCCTGGGTTTCTCTCGCGGAGCCCTGGGGCTCCGTACGGAGCACTTTGAGAACCTATGCTATAAACCATTGCAAGCGCAACAAACGATAGGAATATTTGTTAGCGTAAAACAGTTTTGAAGGGGTTTTCTAATGCATTATGATGATGATGAATTGACGAAAGCAGGGTAGTGGAGTCGAGTAATCACAACACCCAACCACAACTCTAAGCTACAAGCCATTTGAAAAATGACTCTGAAATAATTGACTTCAACACCGGCTCACAACTCCAGGTTGAAGGATATTTTGACTCCACCTCCAGCTCCGTAAAATTATATCTAGATTCTAGATAACAAAAACTTTGCAGTTTTTCATCTTCAATTGTCTGTTGGGAATGCTTTGTTAACTTTTGGAGTATCAATTGGAAGTTTTTACTTCGATAACAACCTTTGGAAGTATAAATTATACTATAATTTTCTATTTATCAAATATATATTGATGAATATAATACAAACCTCAACTTGATATTCCTGACAAGAAGAATAAAATAAATTGTTTTGATTTTCAAACAGAGAAGGTGGAAATAGTCGAATGAAAAAGGATTCTGATTAGGTTTTTTCTTTTTAATTATATGATAGTATGATAGTGGACCAAAAAAAACTTTAACTTGGCACCTGTTTCATCGATTCTTGTTCCTCGAGGTCTTTGACTCGCAAGTCTTTGTTGAATGTTTGATGAGGACTTTTGTGACTCAATAATATCGTTTTCAATCACAATATTCATTGCTGGATTATCGGAAACAGCCTGAAAACATATTATATTTTCATAAAAAAAGAACTGTTGTAATTACTGGGTAATTGTAATAAACCTAATTTGAATAATGAATTTCCAATATCAAAGTATTTGTTGTTTTGAATATCAATCATTAAATTTTCTTAAAACTAATCTACCTGATAGTAAGGATTTTGAACAAGTCTATATTGGCTCTTCATACTCTGGTCTTCCATTGTATATCTTCAAACTCAACAGCGGATTAACCTATGAAAATACTATTTAGAAAAGTAAGATAAAAAAATATGTTAATTTCATTAAAAGATATATTACTAGATGTCGCAGCGCAGACAACAGCATGGCGAAATATAATACAGTTAGATGGCAATAATGCTGTGAAGCATGGGCTTGACGGAGCATTCCATTATCTTAGAACAATTCAAGATGATAATTTATATTCATACCTATTTCAATTAGTTGAGGTTTTGAAATCTATAGAAAATTGGACTGACAATAAACTGCAAAACATATCAAATCAATGCAATTTATAGTATTTTTGATTCTCAGATATTCTCCAACCAAATAATAAATAAAAACAGAAAAATAATAATGTCTCAACATCTGATTAACATACTGCTGAGATAGGTGCACCAAACATTATAAAATTAAGCTTACTATATATAAAAATAAGATAACTACAATACTCCAATATAAAATATAAGTTAATAAAAATCATGATGCTGAAGAGCATATTTGATATGAAGCAGTTGTATCTTCAACATTGGGTATACACAGTTAGACAGTGATTAGCATGTTTATGATTATCACACTTCCATTTTAGGGTCTGAAGCTTTACCGATTTTCTGAAGTTTCATTTCTTGCTTCATGTTCGGTTTTTCCGTTCTAGTATGCCATACTAATATTTTGAGCAGTCTTTGGGTTCCAATTTTTCTCTTGTAACGATTTTAGACAAAAAATGTGATTCTTGATATCCTCTAGGAACTTCATTAGAAAAAACTGCTTCTGGGTGTTCAAGAACTAGTTCAATATTCGTGGCAAAACCTGCCATATCAATAGGATAGGGTCTCTCTGGTTTCCAAGCTGTATAAAAAGACATCACTTTACCATTTTTACATAATGGACCTTCAAATTTCAACCCACCCACTAATCCTACAGGCCAAACTGAAACAGTTTTCGTGAATCTCATTTCTTCGAAAATCCGCAATGAATATGTATTGTCATCATCAACAAAATACAGAACACCAGGTGTCCCCAGTTTAACATTCTTGCGAATCCATTTAAGTCCCTCATTCCTTTGTGCCACACCTCGAGGCATTAGCCAACTTGGATCGGATGATTTCAATTTGAAATTGCTGTCTGTTTTTGCATTCACATGAGCATAAGGTAATCCACAATTTCTGAGAAACCTTGCAACTAGATCAGTTTTTGCTTCTGAGTCTTCTACAATAATCCAGAAAAAATTTGGAACATGAAGAAAAGTGTGGCATAACCTCGTTAATTCTGCCTTTTGTGTCCACCTTGTGTATGTTGGCGTTATTGCATAAATGGTTGGTAATCCAGCACTGAAATAGGTTGATATCAAGTCAATGTCATCTGGATATTTCAAACTTAATGTCCGCTTCACAGAATTGATTAAAAAATCTGAATTTTTATATTTATACTTGTTTTTTCAGATGTGAATCCAGGTTCACATTTTAAGTTTTCCTTTGAATGGAATGGTGTCATAACCCACATTAGAAATACAAATGATGTCCAAACTAAATTTGAGACCAAAAGAAATTTGAGGCCAAAAAAGCTTCTCATTGTACCAATATAGTGATGAGCTTATGCTGTTTGGCTGTAAATTGTCAAGATAGAAAGATTTTATTTCATTCATTCGCAAAAATAAAACAATGCACAGAAAAGATAAAGACCAAGAATATGGGAGAGGAATTAGGTTTATTTCGTTGTATATTTAAGTTACAACTGCTGAACTGCGTAAGCTTTCTTAATAGGATGAAAAAGATAACTGAATAACAATTAATCAAGCTATAAACTAACTCTAATTCATGTCAAAGCTTGCATAAATATAGCTATGATCGTCCGTAATGCTGTAATGGCAGAATGGTGTCTGCATCAATGATAATGAACTCACTAATGCGGTAATGCCCAGTGATCTCTCTCGTATCTGGATCGTTACGATGAGACTTTGTTCACGTCGTAGCTGCTAAATTTCCTGGTATGTCGTTAAAGTGATATAACAAAGTTTTCTCAATCTCCGCAACAAGTCATCCAAGTTTTGGATAATGAATATATAAAAAAAAACTAAATTTACCAGGGAAATTCCATAACATATACTTTTCGTTATAGCAACCTTTCGCTACAGCCATTGCAACAATCGCCGGCCAAATCAGCCATGTTTTAGTACACCTCAATGAAATTAAAAACCTACTTACCAGATTTAAAAAAACACAGTAAAATAATACCGTTTCAAATTTGAAAATTTCTATATAACCTAAAATAGAACCCAAAAAAAAGAATTGAATGTACAAATTGATGAAGTATTTTAATCAGTTCAATATAAACGCATATTTCTAAGTTAAACCATAGACAATGAGAAAATGAAAATAAAATGTCTGGCAGCTACTTCCGACATTCGGTCACGTGTTGATTTATTTATTGCTGCCGCCGTTGGCCGGCACCTTTCGTGTAGTTCGCTTCTTGTGTTCCTGCTGCAGGTGCTTGGTTTGGCGAGGTTCCACCATCGATTTGGCTATTGCCAACCCCAAAAAAATTCGAAATCCCTAATTGAGCTCCGACTCCAGGCATAGTTCCAGACTGCACTGTTTCCCAGTATGCCGAAACATACGACATTGCTGGGCGAATGCACCGTCTTATGCGCCAGGGATACTCACCATCGCGCCGATGAACATGTAGCAATTGTTATTGCACTGCTTTTAGTTAATCATTGAACCTACAGTTTGACAAATGCAGAATATCAAGAAATATATTCTACAGATATACGAGTTGGACGACTCGGGTTGATCGGATGCGAGCGATTGCCGCACTCGTCGTTGGGTGGTTCGGCTGATCAGTTATAGCTAGAGAGAGAGAGAGATTTATTCATTCGTCAACCATTAACCAAAATAAAACAACTGTCATCGTAATAATAACAAGTAATGAATTAGTTTGGTATAGACAGGAGGGAGAGATACGACCGGACGGTCATCAAAGTCAACTCCCCCCTTCGCGCTATTATGTTTAAGATTTACAATTTCAGTAAATATTAAGGTTGAACATTCTATAGTTTAAAATTATATTCACAAAATGGAAGAATAAAATTGGAGATTTCCGGCACTTGCCACGCGTAACGGGGTATAAAAGAAATTGGCTGACGAGGGCCGTGGTACCGCATATGGCTAAATCACATTAATGTTTTTCCTCTCTTCGGAATTATTATTGGGCCAAAAAGTTAATTCTTATCATACAACGGACATGTTGGATCACGTGGTTGAAATAACCGACTGAATGTTAACGAAGTAACAAGTCATCTCACTCCTAAAATATGGGCTATACTATACAGAGAATGCAAAAATATTATTTAAATAAATCAATTTATTTTCGTGCAACCAAGTCACGCTTAGGTCCGGTTTTGGGAAGTCGTAGCATGGCTTCATTGCTAGATGCAACAGTTTCTTTCATTTTTAACTCCACTGCTGCACTTTGAACGCTGTGTAATAGAGTCTGAGATGTATCCATTATTCGTGTATAGGCTGCCTGAGCTTCAGCTATCGTGCGATCGAACTCATTTCTTGATGACATTCTCTGAGCAATCTCTTCATTCAATTTCGCTAGCCTAGTAGTAAAGCACATTTAGTTATTAT